GCTAGTAACTTGCTAATCATGGTAACAAAATGCTAGTAACAGGCTAATCATGCTAGATACATGCTAGTAACTTGCTAATCATAATAACAACATTCAGACTTTAATCTTTCAAACTATCTCAGACTGAAAACTGTCAAACATTTACAACTTTTAAAACTTTCTGCCTTCTAATTAAATTTTTTTTTTTTAAATTATATACTGGACATCCAAAAATGACTTTGTTATATTTCTTACCTGTTGAATTGATCGTACTTCTTTACTGTGTGAGTGTTTTTTTTATTTGTGATGGGAGAGATTTAACGTATTAAAGTCTAAAAAACATTGTCACATCTGCCATTGGCCAGTGACTTGAGAAATTTACCAGCTATATATATATTTTCTACTGGCTGAAACTGTAGTGACCGGCACACATGGGATGGGCGGTATAGTGACTTTATAAGATATATTTATATATTTTCAAACAAGATGGATATTAAATGCAAGTGTCGAGTTCTGCATGTAACACTAGTAACTACTTTTACGAGAGCAGAAAGAGTGCAGCCTCTAGTGCAATGTTCCCTCTAGTTGTTTTTCTTGCTGAGCAAAACTTTTCTCTATTGGGCGCATATTTCAGCCAGCTGAGCAAAAACATTCTTTATATCAGAGCTGTACAAAAAAGTGTAACTTTTAACTTTAATGTGCTATTTATATTTGGTTTGACCCTTGATGTAACTAAGTGATGCACATTTTAGGTCACCTGAGAAAACAGTGGTGTGATACTTAAGAAATTCTATTTAAAAAAATCTCACACAGAACAGTTAAATTCTTTATAAAAATATAATATAATATATAAAAAAAGTAAGCAGTTATTTCTCATGAATTCCCTTTTTGAGGTCAATTAGTTATTAGGCCTATAATATAATATAATATAATATAAAAACAAATATTTTCAAGAAATGTGAGCATGTGAATTATTTTAGTTATCTAAAACATCCCTATGTGGTAGAGTTTGTACACTACACCTGTAAAATGAGTTTTGTTTCCGTTCTGTGCTGATCATCCGATATTTCCACCGCTTAATCAAGCCACTATTCTTTAAAACATGATGACGTTTTATTTCAGATGTCATTGCGTTTGCGTTTGCGTCGGCTCTCGTGTTGAGCTGTTTCATCCGCAAGCATTAAAGGGATAGTTCACCAAAAGTGAAAATTACCCCATGATTTACTCACCCTCAAGCCATCCTAGGCTTAGAGTTTATCACGTGTGAGGATATGGTGTTTGACATGCTGCATGCGCGTCTTGTCTTTAGCGTGTTGAAGGAGTCTGTCTTATCTCTGCTCTTCTCCAGTTTCCCTCAGTTCCTGACTGACAGCGGCTCAACCGGCCAGCATGTAACATTTCTTTATTAACTGTGAGTGTGTGTGTGTGTGTGTGTGTGTGTGA